GTTTGTTATGTGTGTGGGGGTTTTGGGAGGGTGTTCAGACATCACGGTAAAATGTAAAGACCCAGGGGTCATTCGATGTCTATAGAGGTCATCAAATGAGGGCAGTATGTCATTTCTAGCCCAATGAAGCTAGTTGTAACAGAATCGTGTGAGATATTGATTTCCCTGTGAAGCACGAAAATATTTTTGACCTCACAACTCGTAGGGCAGACAAAGATCAGATTCAGCCTCCGGGGTCAACAGAGGTCATTGGAGGGAGAATTCATTTATGGCCTTTATTATCTCTATCGCGTTTAAACAATTACATTGTCAGCAGTGGGCAGGTACGCAGTCGGAGTGAGTTGTGTTAATAAAGATGATAAGGGAGATGGTACTGACTTCTAAGTTTAGTTGTAGATTGAAATAGCATTGTTTTTTTTTCTAGGGGTCATAAAGTTTTAAAATGTCGACGTCTTGTTTTTCGAACACTGAAAAAGTATTCAGGAAAAAAAGATTTTTTTCGCGTAGGCACGATGGTGTAGTGGATAGCGGCTCGGATTCAAAAATCGGAGAGCCGAGTTCGAATTCCAGTCGGATCCATTACATTCACTTACGTGCTAATAGTATGAATTCTCTTCTACTAAGTAAGTAGAAGATAGGCCTTGGATACCAGCTACGGGTAAGTAGAAGACAGGCCTTGGATACCAGCTACGGGTAAGTAGAAGACAGGCCTTGGATACCAGCCACGGGTAAGACAGGCCTTGAAGACAGGCCGGGTAAATAGATACCAGCCACGGGTAAGTAGAAGACAGGCCTTGGATACCAGCTACGGGTAAGTAGAAGACAGGCCTTGGATACCAGGGTTAGTAGAAACTGGCCTTGGATACCAGCTACGGGTAAGTAGAAGACAGGCCTTGGATACCAGCTACGGGTAAGTAGAAGACAGGCCTTGGATACCAGCCACGGGTAAGTAGAAGAGATACCAGCTACGTGATACCAGCAATGGGTAAGTAGAAGACAGGCCTTGGATACCAGCTACGGGTAAGTAGAAGACAGGCCTTGGATACCAGCTACGGGTAAGTAGAAGACAGGCCTTGGATACCACGCATGGCACATAACTGACTATATTTGGAACATTTTTTCTGTTCTGGGCAAAGCCAAGTACCAGTTTTATCCTATGTCAGTCATACGCAAACTGCGGTCTGCCATCCTTATGCAGTCAGTTTGGTTTTCTGAATGGCATTGAGAATTTGCGCCTAAATAACACTTAGTTTTCTTTCATTTTAGTCCGTTCCCTCAAACTCTACATAGCCACATTATGGATTAGCTTTCTATAGCTGAAATTTGTGGATTTTGGGATCTTTTCTACTAATCAACGCCAAATAATGTAAAGTTACTTATCGCAAATTCACTCCAAGAAATTATAAATTTTAAATCAAAATTTCTTTAGCTTGCCTCGAAACAACAACAACCTTCAGAAGGAAAAATTACCAAAATTCAGGGATTTATTCATATTTCGTAAACACGGATAATATTCGAAGTACTTACGAAGATTTTTTTTACAATATACAAAAAAAGAAAATATCTGTTTTTGGCTTGAGGGCGATCGAAGATCCCACATTGAGAAATAGCACACCTGAGTCGCCCACCAATATTAATTCTCTCCAAGAAATTATAAATTTTATATCAACGTTCTTTTGTTTTTTTAATTAATTTTCGGCACTCTTAATTGAAATTATCAATTTTTAAATCAAAATTTGTTTAGATTACATTGTAACATCCCTAACTCTCAGAATTAAAAATTACCAAAAATCAGGGAGTTATTCACATTTCGTAAGTGCGAATGATATTCGAGGTACTTACAAGGAATTTTTTTTACAATAAAAAAATAAAGGAAATATCTGTTTTTGGCTTGTCTATTGGGATGAACGCAAATGTATCTAGCACACTTATAAATAACGCACCTGAGTCGCCCACATTTGCGGCTATCGCAAATGCCAATCGAACCACAATGGAAGGGGGCTCGCCCTGGGAGAATTTAGTGTGAATTTTAGTAAATACTAGCAGTAGAGCCCGGCGTTGCCCGGGGATATAACAGTCAAGAGATAGATCAAGTATCGACCATCATAAAGACTGAAAAATAAAATTGACAAAGATTATTGTTTAAGCTTGACGGACACGCATGTCTTAATTATTTTTTTTGTTTTGTTTTGTTTTTTTTTTTGTTGTTGTAACGAATTGGTCAAACCCAAACTCAAACAAAAACATTGTTTTCAATCGTTATGAGTCTATTGATTGAATAGAATTTTATCATAAACAATTGTCTTGTAAATGGAATTTTTAAAGCATTCTGAATGTAAAAATAAAGAAAAAAGTGTGCAAGACAATAAGAAACACTACCTGCCAAAAAAAAAAAAGTGAAGTTTTGTTGAAATCGGTTGAAAAATGTAGGAAATCCGATCTCATATATAAACGAACACACACATACACACAAACAACCTTGGTTTTATAATAAGTATAACTCGATATGAGTTGTCTCCCTTTCATTCTCGCGACAGCAATGCCTCTTAATCGTGTTTTCAAATTGATTTCGTGCAAAAACAATTGTGTTTTTCCAATTTTTGGCACCGTCAGAACCACCGCAAGGTAATTTTACGTAGTCCTGTGAAGTTTTTTTGAAATCGGTGGAAAAATGTAGGAAATCCGCCCCAATATATAAACGAACACACACACTCACACACACTTTTATTGGGTTTTATAATAAGTATGATAAATTCTTTTTATTAATTAATAAATTAATATTTTGGTATGAATTAACGGAAAATTATCTATCTATCTATCTATCTATCTATCTATCTATCTATCTATCTATCTATGTTTATACAGGCATACATACATTATCTATCTATCTATCTATCTATCTATCTATCTATCTATCTATCTATCTATCTATGTTTATACAGGCATACATACATATCTATCTATCGTTTCGTGTATAACCACATACATAAACAAGGATTAATGTCATGTTTATTGCATTTTGTTTTAACTTTTGTTGAAAGTAACCTTTTAAGCATTTTAAACCATTGACAGTTTTTACTAAGGAAGTTCATACGTGTAAATATCTCTTGTTTTAGAAACAAGAAACCTTAACAAAGTTAGGATGCTTGTCTCCGTTGATAGATGCATAATTAAAAGAAAAAAAAAACTTGTAGTTCCAACGAATGATTTATTTTTCTGGAAATATTTCGATTAGCAGTTGCCAGACTTGGTCAGTCTTTAATTTAATTAAAAACAATGGAAATAAGCTCGAGACGCTTATGAATTCAAATCAAGGAAAACAACGCAATAGAAAATTGAGGTGTAAAGAAAAAATATCATGCCATTGCAGAAGGTCACAGATTTGATTTCGACCATCCGGAAATAAAATTGACGAACCAAAAGCCTTTCAATCAAAGAAAAGTAGCTGGACAAATGGTAATAGCAATTACAAAAAATACCTGCAATAGGATATATGCAGGGTAACTCCATCCTGTCCGGACATATTTGCTCCAAAGAAAAAATATATGACAAAAAAAAAAAAATGGAATTGATCGAGTAAAAAACAATTTTTTTTACGCCTCAACTTGCTATTACGTTGTAAATGTCACCAACTCGTTGTGTTTTCCTTGATTTGAATTCGTAAGCGTTTCGAGTTTCTTTGACCCCCACCTTTCATCTCGACCTGGTCAGTTTTATATTTTCCCATTTCAGCCTAATATTTTATATTTTTTCCCACTCCCTTAGCAAGTCTCTTGATTTTGTCCCCCGGGCAGAATACAGCGGTCTCTCTGTTTTATGGGTTGGACGGTCCCTACTAACATCAATTATGTTTAGTTTGTATTTGTGTTTATTTTAAGTTTATTGTTGGGTTCATTTCCTCCCTCTCATTTTATCATTATTAGAATTGTATATATATATATATATCATCATTAAAATTTTTATGGCATGGGGCGAGATTTTGGTAGGTCTCCCTTGAGAGCACGTGGTATTATGGTGGTTGAAGGATCGTTTGGTGATGGACGAGTTCTTTTGGTGAATGAGTAAAATGTAATGTACGAATGGGTCGCGAATCTGATTAGCTAGGTATAAGATAGTTAGTGTTGACCAGCCTCTACCCGTCCCCTTTATTGGCCTCGTGCCACAATTTGGACTTTTTGTATGAATAAATACCAGTCTAGCAACTGCTAGTCGAAATATTTCCCTAAAAATAAATCAATCATTCGAACTACAAGTTTTTTTCTTTTAATTAAGCAACAACCAACGGAGACAATCATCCTAACATTAAGGTTAATTTCGGTTGAAATTTATAAAGTCATTCTCTGATAACAGTTTTTTTTACTACGAAGAATCTCAGGGCCGAGCAAGATTCTATTAAAGAAACATCTCTTTTAAGAGTGGTCTAAAGCAGCCCTGATCATATGGTGATTCACCAATCCGAAGGCGCAGGCAGGCGGGAACGCACAATTCCCTGTCTTTTTTAACTTTTAGAAATAATTTCTTCATGCTAACCCTACCCTGTTCTGACATCCATATACGCAAATCCGTGAGGTAGATAATTTCTCTGTCTTTTTCGCTTTCGATATCTCCTGTGTGTGTCAAATTCTGCGAACCCTGTATCCTCATTATGTTTGATTTACATTTTTTACGGTAACATTTTATTACAAGACATAAATTTATATATTGAATGTTTTTTGTTGTTGCGATTTTAAGGATTTAATGTTACAAATATTACTATTTAACCCATAGTTGTTGGAGGGAGAAGAGGTGGATTCATACCTTTCCTAAGTTAATATAACGATCCCGACTGGAATTAGAACTCTGCTATCTGATTTAGATTTTAAGAATTATTTTCGAGATAATAATATTTTACTGATACAAGTCTTACTATTTAACCCATAGCTCGGTGTAGAAGTGGTGGGCTCATACCTTGAGCGAAAGTGAATGCAACGAACCTGAATGGAATTCAAATCAGGCTCACCGATTTTAAGCATTTCTAGTTTCTTTGAACTGTTTTTACTCAAATTAAGGAGTGACCTAGACTGGCAACTGCTTGTCGAAATATTTCTATAAAATAAATCAATCGTTCGAACTACAAGTTTTTTTTCTTTTAATTAGGGAGACTTAACATTTTTTTTTTTACATAGGGGAATAATTGTATTTTATCTTTTAAAAAAATATTTTTCGTATAGTGAAATGAATAAATTTGAAACAAATTACTCTCAATAGTTCGTCTTAATCAAACTGTCATTATACTAAAACGTCAACTTTGTAATGAAAGAAAGAATATTTTTTACCCCCCCCACCAAAAAAAAAAAAAAAAAAAAATAGCCGGATAATCCTGAATCATCATCGTCATCCTTCTTCGACTTCTCTCTGGTTGATCGGAACTCCAATGACAATTCCTTTTCACACTGTTCTATCCACCATTTCTATCCTCAGTTCTCCATTGTCCAACTCATAGTCCCGAGCTATGGTGACCGGGATAGTCAATTTGCGTGAGAAGACACTTCCAGAAGGATTGCGTTAGAAGTAAGGCTGAGACGATTTTCCTGTGCGCTCGGTGGCAGTGGCCGGGAAACTGTAATCATCTTTGTTTGAGCTTTAAAGAGATTGGTTTAGGTTCTTCGTAAATTGTGTTAAGCACTGCCTGAATACCAGACCCTCCGCTTACCCACAAAAAAAAACACCCTCTTCTCAGAATTCGCATCTGGTAAGAGATCACATGGAGCCGTACGTCGGTGATTCAAGGATCAGCTCAAAAACACCTTGCTGAGGACGGAAATCGATTGGGACGCCGGAAGCTGCAGGAAGAACTAATTGGAGAAGAGAAAGAAAAAAAAAACATCCAAAAGGCAAATTGAAGAGACTGAGAGAGTTAAAGATAAGCCAGATCTCTCCATCACCTGAAATCACCTACCCTACCATGGGATTATCTTCAGACCCGGCATAGGACATTTTACACAGGAGGAAATATCGATGAGCATCCCAATAATCGGCAACAAGTTCCGCCATCGAAAGGAGCCATTCGCAGAACTATAGTGTTTTTCTACGCCTTAACTTTTCTAAAAGCTCGCCTCAAAATCCAAAGTACGGTGTAGTGATTCTCAGCACATAAGTATTTAAATACGTATTTATAATATCAGGTCATCCAATAAGTCCTGTCCGAATTTTGAATAAAGAAAACAAATGACCAAATGTTATATTTAATTACAGATTCAATCAACAATGTATTTTCCCTGATTATCTATGACTTCCTTCCATCTATTAACAAGCTTACTAATTCCATTACTGTAAAATTCTTTTGGCTTTGATTCAAAGAACTCACAAATGTCAGTTTTAACCTCTTCCTGTGTTACAAAAGCTGTTTCTTCCAAATGATTCTGTAAGCTACGAAACAAATGGTAGTCTGAAGGAACAAGATCTGGAGAATAAGGTGGATGAGGAATTTTCTCACAACCAAGTTCTTCGATCTTTTGTGACGTGATTCTTGCTGTGTTAGGTCGCACATTGTCCTGATGAAACATCACCTCTTTTCGATTCACTAGAGCAGGTCTTTTATTTCCTCAAAACTTGGTTCAAACGCTCTAACTGCTGACAGTATATTTGAGCATTAATTGTTGCATTAGGTGGTAAGAATTCAAAGTGGATTATTTCTTGGCGATCCCACCAGATTGAAAGAAGAACCTTTTGCCCATGACGTTTCCTTCTCGGCTGTGGCTGGGATCCTTCCTCTTTTACCAAGCCACTGTCTACGACGCTTAACATTTCTATAAAAGATCCATTTTTCGTCGCCAGTCACAAGTCTATCCATAAAGATGAAACAAATTGGCGAGAATGGAGAGAAGAGCAGATTTGAGGTTGTTTTCAGACAATTCATGAGGTACCCATTTTCCAAGTTTAGGAACTTTTCCAAGTTGTTTAAGATGACGATGAACAGTTGTATGGTTTGAACTGAGAACCACTGCCAATTCTTCAACTGATAAAGCAGGATTTTCTTTAAGGGCTGCTTCAAGAAGCTTTTCATCAAACTCAACTGGAAGTCCGGTTCGATCTTCATCTTCAAGGGTGAAATCTCCACCTCTGAATTTTGCAAACCATCTTCTGCAAGTTCTTTCATTCACACATTCCTCTCCATAAACTGAGTGAATGTTTCTAGCTGCTTCGGCTGCTGAGTTTCCTTTCTTGAACACATAAAGCATTATGTGTCTCAAATGATTCTTGGGTACTTCCATGCCAGCAGGGTTTTAATCAAACAAAATTTAATTTTATTGTTCTCTGAAATAAAATTTGATCAGTTTAAATGCATCTAAACATAAAAATAATGTTCAGCTCCATTAGACATTATAAAATACTTTTTAAATTTCGTTCATATTAACAAAAAGTTAAAATTCGGACAGAACTTATGGGATGATCTGATAATGTCATGCTATTTTTCTTTTACGAAAAGCTTTCCAGCAGTCGTACCTTTCTAATTATGGACACATTTATTTAAGTCGATGGATAACGACAAACATCGCTTCTGATCTTCGCCGCTCCTTATTATCTCTTTAACTAAGAATTACTGCAATCAGATCTTATTTTAGTGTCAGTCACTTTTCCTTGTTGTTTTCAAATCAAACGACAAACGCCAACACGTCTTTTCCATTAAGAAATAACAATAATAGGAAAATCGCTCTTGATCCGTGTGATGACATGATGTCTGTCCTTACGTTGAACTGATTTGGTATTATTTACACGAAAAGCAGATGTATTGCTTCTTAGTTTCGCTTGTTTTTCTTTTATTTTCTTTCTTTTTTTTTTTTTGCTTGTCATCATTTATTTTCAAATGCATTTTGTAAGTTGGCAAGATAAGCAAGTTCCCGTAACATATGGAGATTACCGCGTAGAGAAATGACACCTGCCTATTGAAGGATCATATATAATTTAATATGTCTCACTCTCCCTTCTCTTTCACAGCCCGAGTATTCTTGGATAGGCACACTATCTATCTATCTATCTATCTATCTATCTATCTATCTATCTATCTATCTATCTATCTATGTTTATACAGGCATACCAACATACATACATACACATACATACATACATACATACATATCTATCTATCTATCTATCTATCTATCTATCTATCTATCTATCTATGTTTATACATATCTATCTATCTAGCTAGCTAGCTAGCTAGATAAATAGATAGATAGATAATGTTTATACAGGCATACATACATTCATGCATATCTATCTATCTATCTATCTATCTATCTATCTATCTATGTTTATACAGGCATATATACATACATACATATCTATCTATCTATGTTTATACAGGCATACATACATACATATCTATCTATCTATGTTTATACAGGCATATATACATTCATGTATATCTATCTATCTATCTATCTATCTATCTATCTCAGTCTTTTCTCATCTATCTATCTATCTATCTATCTATGTTTATACAGGCATACATACATACATACATATCTATCTATCTATGTATCTATCTATGTTCATGCGTACATACGTATTTATTATATCTATATTCATGCATGCATATATATATATATATATATATATATATATATATATATATATATATATAAAAAATTTCTTATAATTAACCTGTAGAGGAAGACAGTATGTATAAAGGAAAAAGACAATAGGCAAACTGTAATTTTAGCCAACGCGTTTCGTCCAGCCTGAACTTTTTCAAGGCAAAAAACGAAATGACTTTATTGAAACAAAGTAGCTATCTCTTTAGGATAGATCACTTTTGCCTACCTAAAATATTTTTGCCCTTCCTTGCCTTTAAAGGAGTGCCCTTTGCCGTGCTGATGTTGCTACATGCCTTACTTCTTGCCTATCTCACACTGCGAATTTTTTCTAAGCTCTATACTAAACATTAAATCTGTTACGAAAAAAGAACTAAACAAAATGAACACAAAACGATCAGCTTTAAAAAAAAGGACCCGTAACTGGAAAAACCGAATGAAAAAAGAATGTTAACAACAAATACTTTTTCACACCCAACCCAGTTCTGCGGAATCAGAATCAACGTTGATTTTAAGCAAGCGAATGAGCCAATTGGAGTAAAGTGCCACGCAGATTTAAATTTTTCCCACATGTGACGAATGCAGCTATCGATTTTTTTTTTGCATGCTAGTTAACATTCGTGTCAGTCAGCTGTTGGCTCTCACGCTGGTGAATAGAATCTTCCTGCCTATTCGTGGCAGCCAGCTGTAGGCTCTCACTCTGGCCAGTAGAAAATGGCTGCAAACTACATGAAAACTGCTGTAGAACCATGAAAAAATCGATTATTTCCACTATCGATGGGAGTTGGGAAATGCAAAGTCGGTCTTGGCCTTTCCTGCTAACTTGAGCATGTGCATGTAAATTTTGTAAACCGTCGAAAATTGTGGACGTGTATTCGTCACACACACACATCCTGCCTTATATATATATATATATATATATATATATATATATATATATATATATATATGAGTGTGTGTGTACGCGTGAGCATATTCAAGTTCGTAATCAGAATCGCATCAGTTCCGTTTCAAAATTATAAACAAGAATGACAAATTATATGACAAGAATAAAGAAGTGAACCGCAATAAGGAAAGGACAAAAATATTAAAAAAAAAAAAAAAAAAAAAATTCCAGAGATACAAAGCCAGACAACGTATAAATGGTAAGGATTATTGAACGCGTAAGATTTCATGAATTAGAAAGGCAATTAAGAAAACAACACCAACCAACGCAACTTACGAATTCTTGACGTTATTTGCGACCCCGAAACCAGTACTTACCTGAAAGACAAAAGAAAAAAAACAAAAAGGAATTAATAAAGAAAATTAACAAGAAGAAATACGACAAAGCAATTACACTAATGCTGTAGAAATAGACATCGACAGAGTTATTCAATAGACAGGTTGAGAAGGCTGGAAAATAAAAGGTTGAATAAATATAT